AGCACAAATCAGCAGATGCTTTAAAAGTCAGAAATCGACCAAACAGCAGAACCTGACGTTTCTCTGGATCAACAAGAAATACTCTAGATGTAGGATCCAAAATTTACACTCAGCAAGTGCCAAAATGTATTTGGAGTCATTTGCCAGTTAGCCAGTAACTTTATTTATGCATTTAATTAATTATTGCCTGCAGAAAGGCTGTCTCCATGGCATAAAGAAAGTGAATAACAATTACAGTCGTACAATTAACAAAAATATATATAAAACATTTCAGATTCATGACAAAAAAAAAAAAAAACATTAAGGTGATATTTTTTCCAAATACACCAGTTAAACATATCTTTGAGTAAAAAGATCTGTTTACCTTAAAAAGATGATTAAAAAAAGATGTTTAACCCAGGAGTTTGAAAAGAAAGGCATGATGGAATAAATAAATTACCATTTGTATATCTTGAATGATCTAAATGTAATACATTTATTCAAAACTGCAATATTACATTGAACTGTTAAAAATCTAACCTGACACTTGCTGATGTACGAGATGTGCACAATTAATGATATTAACAATAAATTAACAATAAAAATGGCTACTTAATCAATTCTGTTTAAATCAAATGATTTGCAGTGGAAATTATGTGCTATTATAATTATTTAACACTTATTTCCCCCTTAGAAATCCATGAAACCATACGTATGTGCAATATTCCTCACATTAAGCCACCAAAACAACAACACGAGGAACAAAATCACAGTGTGTTCTCACATGTCATGTGCATTTTCACATGATGCAAAACAACAGCTAAATAATACCATCTGAATGACCCCATAAAAAAAATTTATATATATATATATATATATATACAGCAACTATATTCTTCAATAAAAATAATGCAAAAATAATACATTTTTATGGCCAGTAATTTATCTCAATTCACCCACCGTTGGCAGGTGCAGCGAAAAAAAATAAATGCTGGTCCCTGCTTTAAAGTCTGTTTAAAATGTGCAAAGCAGGGTAAAGATATATTGTTTGTATGCAAAATGAAATTACAATGTGAAGTTAGAGCTTCTTTATGCATTACAATCATCTAAACTGGAGCTGTCAGCATTTAGAGGCTTTGCTGAAACATGAAGAGAATAACTGCAATGGCCAAGTCAAACACGACACACTTTAAAGCTGCAGTCCGGCGTTTTTCCTCTTTGTCGCCACCTCTGTTCGAAATCTGCAATTGCAGTCATTCGCGGAATTACTTTACGTGAGTTGTACTTCAAAACACTCGACACGGCACAGCGCGGATGAAGACAGTGTTTAAGGAGAGTGTGTGTGTCAGTCACCGCCGGTGTGGATAATGGCATTCAGAATCACAGATTATTCTTTTTGGACATATGACCAACATAAGAATTTTCACTGGAAAATGTCATCTGAACTAGTAAGAAACATCCACTTTTGTTCTGGTTCTGACATTGCACTAAATCGCGCTGATTAAATCTAACAATCGCTTATAAGTTATCATATCACGCAAAACCGTGCAAATTATACTTTGTTCTCAAATTGTTAATGTTAACAACGTAAGCAAGCATTGCGTGACTACATGTAATGTCCTTCTGATATTATCCTTGTTTTCGCATGGGTCCAGTTGCAGTCTCTTCTTTTCTGTAGCCACTCCGAAGTCCGAACGAAGTCTTTTGCATTTTACAGCGGGTGAGTCTCCAGTTGTCACTGGTGATCGTTGTTTGAACCTTTCTGGATCTGCCATCAAATTGATAAGTTTAATTATATCAAGTGCTGTGAGAAAAGGCTATAAATCTCCACCTCCAACATCCTCACACACAATATAGCTTCAGACCTGCAAACTCCTCAGAGTAAAAAAGGTGACAGTGTGGCGGGGGGGGGGGGGGGGTGCTAGGGTGTGGTTACAGTTACATGGTTACAGTTACAGTTATGTTGTTCTGGATGAACACTATACTGTATATATAATTATCATAGGATTGGCAAAGGACAAAAAAGGCAGTTAAATATAAATGAACCATGATGAGCAACACATTTGTTACTGTATTTATTATTCTTTGTTAATAAAAATACAGCTGTTCGTTGTTTGTTCATATTACTTCACAGTGCATTAGGCTAACTAATGTTAACAAATATAACTTTTAATTGTAATAAGGCTACTAGTAAATAGTGAAATTAACATTACCAAAGATTAATAAATGCTATTTATATATAAAGATTAAGAAGTGCAGTTTATGAATAGTTAATATTAACTAGTTTGTTGTTATAGATTTGTTATACACCGATTCAGATCTCTTTTGAAGAGACAGATGTTGGACAGATCAGTTATTTTAACCATTCATAAAAGTAAATCGGTTCAAATGAGTCATTAGTTCGCGAATCGGACGTGCCATTAGCTGACACACACGGCACGCGTTGTGTGATTATCCCAGCAGATAAGGACATCGCACAAGATTTGTCTCAACTCTCAACACAGAAAACATTTAATCACTGGATAGGTTTTTTGTTTATTGAAAATGTGGTTTATGTCAGCTGAATGTGCGGAAAGCTTTTCAGAGAGGATAGGGCAATTTTAGTAGGCTGCAATTCACACCCAGCGGTAATTCAGGAAAAAAAATCTCCACGTGAAACTTTGGTCTTTTGATCTTTTACTATCGTGTCACTTCTCAATAGATTTTGATTAATATGCGCGATAGAGGGAGAGCAAGGCAGTTTGAATACAGTGAGAGTGCGCGCGCGCGCGACCGGCTCTCTCTCTCTCTATATATATATATATATATATATATATGCTCGACTTCTTTCAGCGCCCTGTCACGAGCGCAGCATAACAAAGCGGTAGCTAACCTTAATTGAATCAAGCAAACAACTAGATGTTGTTTTTGCTCCAAAAAAGCTTGATTTACCTCGAATTTCAAATAAGATTCCTTCAAGTTCTGAGTTTCCATCAGACTCGCGTGGTAGCCAGGTGTCTCATCCAATGGCGATTCTGACGCAAGTGCTAAGATTCCGATTGGCCAAGAGAAAAAGTACTAAGATTCCGATTGGCCCAGAGAAATGTCAATTATAAGAATTATCCAATAATGTTTCGCAATTCTAGCCTGCGTGCAGATTAAGGGCAGCCTACACCCCCCCACCCCACCCCCCAAAAAACTCTCCGGTTCTACGCGATTCACGTGAATGACCCAAATGACCAAGAAAACGGCGATTATCGCCGAAAAGCGACAAGTTTGCAGGTCTGAGCTTATACTAGCCGAGACTCCTTCTTTATGTGTACAGATGTGACGTAATGACGCAAAGACATGCTCGAATCTCCCGCGGAAATACACCAGTACCACTGGAATTAAAAACATTATTACAAGCTTACCGCTTTGAATCGAGCTACGGCAAGCAGAGAGTTTTGAACACTGGCTGGTTATGTATTTTCTCAAATATGTATTTTGGATCATTTTTAACCCCAAAAAAGCTACGGACTGCAGCTTTAAGGCTACTTACAATCCAGAGAGACCATTTGTTATTTTCTGCTCAAACCTGACCTTTTTGTGAGATTGTCACATGACCTGTTAAATGTGGCCCAGGTCTGAACATGTGAAGCTCCTGAACTGACCTGAATGTAAAACCCCCTGACATGTTCATTAGCAGTAAACTACAGTAACGATAATCAATACTAGAAAAACTGCAATGAGTCTAACATCTAACTGCATGTCATTTATATATGGCTTAAACCTTTATATATTTGGACTGTAAATAGACAACAGTTCAAAAGTTTGTGGTCTGTAATATTTCTTTTTTTTTTTATGAAAGAAATGACTTTTCTTTTGTTCAGGAAGTATGCATTAAATTGAACAAAAGTGACAGTAAAGACATTTGTAATGTTACAAAGGATTTCTATTTCAAATAACTGCTGTTCTTTTAATCATTCTATTCATCAATGAATCCTGAAAAAAAGTATCAATGTTTTTACAAAAATATGAAGCAGCACAACTGTTTTTAACATTGCTAATAAAACATGAAAACAATTATGACGAAGGCAGCAGGGATTCATACACGATTTTCTTGTCTCTTATACTGCAATGCTACAGTGCATCAAACTCAGATTTAAAAAAAATGAGAGCGTGAGACAGAGAGATAGGGGACATAAACTCCAGATGCAATTACGAGAGTAAGGGCCCTCAGAGAAGAGTGGATACACATCGGGGGACCACATTAATTACAGCGTTCCAAACGGCCAAAAGAGAGAAAGACAAAGTGTGTGTTAAGGGTGAGAGGTTTTCACTGGGAGCCTGAGCAATTCTAGTAAACAGTGTGATTTATAAAGCTATCGTGTGCATGTATGACCATAAGTCATCGAAAGACTCAGAGTGATCCAACACGAAACAAGCCTTTCATAAATTCCTGTTCAAGCACAATCAGCACCAGTCATGAAAAATGCCAAGCGTCATCTTTCAAAAGCACTAAAGACGGACAAAATAAATACAGCGAATACAGCAAATGCAGTGAGCTATTGGCTGCTTTCTGTTAAATACTATCCAGTGCATCACATGTCAGACTTATTATTCAGTAAAACACTTAATATCCAATAATAATATGGATTTGACAGCACTGACACTATTGGATGAGAACAAAACTTAAATAATATTATACAATATAGAACAAAACTGAACTGAACTGAGCTGAATAAAAACACTATTGTCTTCTATTGACCTGCTTTATAGCTGAATCAAATTTTCATAACTGTTTCATAATTGATTCACTTTTCAGAGTTATTGAACTGATCCAACACTACATTGGCTATCTATTGTCTTTTAAAGCTGCAGAATTTGAATTTATCTCATATTTGATGAAGTTAGCATCACTGATTCTGAAAATTCCTATTAATTACTATGAAGCTGCTTTGAAACATCAAATTGTGCTATATAAATAAAGGTGACTTGACTGACTTGCAATCTCCAAAAAACAAATGAAGCATTAGAAACTGGAAGGGTTCTTCACTCACGTCATAGCCTGGTAGATGGACTCCACACCAAAACGCATGGCAAACTCATCCACGATCTCCTGCGACACGTCGTCAAAATAAACCTTCCAGGCATCGTCGCCTTTGACTTCTGGGATCTTCACGACTCCACTGTTCTTCACCTCCGTCAGGTAGTGGAAGAGATTCTGCACAGGAACATAAGAATCATGAAGAACCATGTTATTTCAAGAGATAAACAGAAACAGGAAACCCGTTTAGGGGCCAGGCACTGTGCGTGAAACTGCAACAACATTGATATGGAATAGATGTCGAGAAATATCAACAGCACAGCCAACTTGGAAAGGTTAACATTTCAGGGTGCCAACCTACTGTCATCACACCGACAAAAATGCCACAACACTGTGCAGGCAATGGTGGTATAACACCAGCGAGACATGGGCCAGATTCTACACAAACATGTGTAGCTGAAAGAGTTTGCATTCATAAGATCGTTGGATTCTGAATAGCAATTCATAATGCAAGACAAATGTGTGTTTTGGCGGATCTTTAACTTTCCAATATGGTGGGTATACGTTTAGTAGAAATCAACTACTGTTGTTAATTTATTTTATGTTGTAAAAGTTCATAGACCAAATTTTAATATAATATAATATAATATAGGCGTGAGTGCTAATGAGCATCATCTAAGCGCCACACCGGTCTCAGGTCCCACGGAGGAGCTCTGGAAGGATAAAAGGAGTGATGTTTGTTGTTTTAGTTTATGCAGTAGTCATCCGTGAGGGGCAGCTGGTTTATTTTTCGTTTTGTTGTTTGTTTATTTGGTGATTTAAGTTTTACGTTGAACGTTTGCCGGTTCCTGCCTCCTTCCCTGAACACAAATCGTGTTACAGTAATATAGTATAATATAATATAATATGTAAGGGATAATCCACGGCTAGCCATGCATTAAAGAATTTTAATGCACGACGTAGAGGCGAAGAACGACCTAGAGGTTGCCTCTAGGTCGTGCATTAAAATTCTTTAATGCATGGCTAGCCGTGGATTATCCCGCTTATACCTCGGTTATTTGCCAAGTTAATAAGAAGTTAAAGCTGTAACTGATGTTTACAATGTAATTTTTTAACAGACGTGTAAAAATGACGGTTATTTTCTTAAGTTACGGCTCGTTAGTTCTAGCACTCCGTCCGCTTTAAATAAAGTAGAGCCATCGGATTGCTTTTATTTGAATGAATTATCACATTTATTTAAATTCATTATTAAAAGAGAGAGACAGAGAACTGAAAGAGAAGAGAGAGAGAGAGAGAGAGAGAGAGAGAGAGAGAGAGAGAGAGAGAGAGAGAGAGAGAGAGAGAGAGAGAGAGAGAGAGAGAGAAAGAGAGAGAGAGAGAGAGAGAGAGAGAGAGAGAGAGAGAGAGAGAGATGCGTGCGCGAGTTACCTATGCGTCTCTTCTTTAAAGTCTACAGTCCCCTCGTTGCTTAAGCATAGGCCTATATAGCTAACTTAATGATTCATGGATTTATTAAAATTATTTATGAATGATAGGCAACACTGACAGTGACAAGGAAAGCTTTATTTGAACTAATCATGTCATTTATTTAAATGAATTAGCTGTATGTCAAACCAAACTTTTCTTACGCGGATGATGAACGCTGGTGTCTTTTCCATTTTTCCTGTAGCGCTTTAAAACTGATTTAAAGACGGCATTGCTTGACTTGAAGTCTTTATCCCTTATGATGTTGTATTTTGTAATGTGACGGTTTATACCTGCTCTGAGACGCATCAAACTTGCAACACTGTATTCGCGTCCAGCGGTAGACTGAACAGAGGCATAAAACTCCCGAAATGTCTAATTTAAAAGAGAAGCAGAGTAACGTTAGGTCTCGAAATCACAATTGTTCTGTCTTTGGCGCAACAAGTCACTGAAAGTGTTAACTGCCCATTTAGTTGTCTTTTTCGTATTGACCTCATTTTTGTCGTCTTAGATCTTATCTAGCTCTGTCTTTTCCCTCAAAAAAAAAAAAAAAACCCTAAAAGGTATCTAAGTAATATACAGTAGTAGGCTATTTCGTTGTCACCCTGCCTCTCCAAATGCATAACTAGTGCAATAATGCAGTAACAGCTGAAAAAGTACTTGGGTGTGTGTTTTATTTTATATTTACCGGTCAATAATGCAATCGCTGCTGTCTGTCCCATAGAAGAACATGACAGCCCGCGTATGTTTTGGAACTTGGGGCTTACATGAACCACGTGACAGCCATCGCGAGCGATTAAAGAGCGTCGCAACTCTTTCTCTCTATGGCTCTGAGCCTATAACGTTTTCATATGTGTCTCTCTCTCTCACTCTTTTGCAAGTGTAACTCTGTTACTATGGTTACCAATGTTTATAGTAGCGGATTAATTTCGAACTGTAATCAAACTGACTGGAACTACCTGTGCATTAAACGGTTTTACTGCACACCTTCCAGCCAATCAGAATCGAGTATTTAAACAGGCCGTGGTATAAAATATAATATAATATAATATAATATAATATAATATAATATAATATAATATAATATAATATAATATGGGAACACTTAAAAAATAATGAAATATGGTTTATGTAATGACTAAATCTATCACATTTTGTGAAATTAATGTATTTTAATTATAAAATAAATAAATAAAAGTATAAAAAAAAATTGTTTTTATTTATAGTTTTTATCGTGTTTTACAGTAAAAATATCATTCTAAATTTAAACAATCTAAAAGTACATTTAATTTGCAAAAATTGTACTCGTAGAAAAATACAGAGAAAGGTTATTTATCCCATTGGTTTTTGCTATATTAAGCACAAATCTACCAATATTTTATGAGTATTAAAGATATTTATGTATTGTGTGCAGTGTTTTGTAAAATGCAGTTTACACATACCTCGTGTAAACATGTGTACTGCCCATGAGGCGGAGCCACCTTCTCTTCTCCTTTCATCTCAACGCTGATCTTCAGCCTGATGGCCCCTGACACCATCGACTTATCCGTACGCTTCTCTGCAGGGAGAGACGACAACAAGAGCAAGAAAGGTGAATTGAGCATGTGAACAGAATAGACAAGATAGATAAGACAAGAAGAAATAGAAATAAGACGAGTGAAACATTTAAGAGTGCTGGAGCTGCAGAATTCCCCTCCTCTCTGACCCTGTCAATAGCACATGTGTAATGCAGCTGACCTCAGAACAGTGACCTGCAGACAGACACACACCAAATCTCATCAGCGTACGGCCATGTTCCTTTATAAATCTGACCCCAGGTCAAACTGCAAATGTAAGCAGGCCAATGAGCACTGAAACACTAGAACAGATGCCAAATTTAGACCATTAACCTAAGCTAAAAGTTTAACGTCAACCATTGTACTTTTGTAACGTGAGACTTTATCTTTGGTATATTATGCAAGATGATGAATCGTGCTTCAGAAACGCTTTCCCGCCACCACAGAATTTTCTGTAATTTATGATAACTATGGAAGCTTGTTTCCGCCACAGAATAAAAAATAAAAAAGTAATTGCAACTTTCTATCTCACAATTCTGACTTTTTTTTCTCACAATTGCGAGTTTACATCTCGATATAATGTATATCTATATATATAAAGAGATATAAAGTCGCAATTGTGAGTTATAAAGTCAGAATTGAGTGATATAAAGTCGCAATTTAGTTATAAATCAGAATTGCATGTTATAAAGTGAGAAATAAAGTTTTTTTTTAATTCAGGTTTTTTTTTACTCAGAATTGCATGTTTACATTCTCGCAATTCTGACTTTATAACACGCAATTGGGAGATATAAAGTCGCAATTCTGAGGAAAAAAGACAGTCTTTATTTCTCACAATTCTGACTTTATAATACGAAATTGTGAGTTTATATCTCGCAATTCTGACTTTATAACACGCAGTTGTGGTTTTATATCTTGTTAAAAAAATGTATTCTGTGGTGGAAACAAGCTTCCATTGATAACACTTTCCAGCCATTGACGGAAATTTCTGGCTTTCCGCGTATTCACTGTTATACGGAAGGGGGCACTATTACGAATCTTTAGAAAGAGTACAGAATCTCTGGTTCAAAACAAAGGTAAAAAAGAAGCAGAAACAAGCGATAAAAGCATTGCTTATGCAAGTTATAGTCTTTGACAAAAACGCAAATTTTGCAGGTTTTTGTTCTAAATGTTGCATTTTTTACCACTTGGAAACTTACCCACATCCAAGTGGTGATAAAAAAATGAATTTGTTGTTTAAAAGCAGAGGATCTGTTCTTTCTTTTGAAATATTGCATGCTCAGATATTGCTGGCGGTGATTTGCAATTCACTTTAATTTAATGTTGACTTGAAATTTGATATTCGGCAGCTGCTATTAAAATAATAAAGGAAAAATGGCACTTTGCCGATAATACTCCTCACATCTTGTTTTGTCACTTAATTGCTCTAATTGATGTCTGGTCCGTGGCCGCAGCGGCCAGACAAACTCCCATCTGGAACTTTCTCACATCTCGATGTGGACAGATGGAGAAGGACAGTTTAGCCAGAGTCACGGCTCTAAAAACACATGCTTCTGCTCCAAGCCAAGGAAAACAATCCAACACACAAACCATCAACAAAATCAGAAATGATTCTCTGCGGAACAATGAGGCCATTTGCAACTTTATTTAAGGGACAGTTCATCATTAGCGAAGCTACAATACCTGATATAAAGCACAGGATGAACTTCTTTTATGGTGTGTCTTTGTAATTTTTTGGAGCCACTATGGATAAATCTCACAAAGTAAGGGATCACATTTCAACCTAAAATCAAAAGATTATATTATATTTAAAATAATAGTTTTTTTAGTCTTCCTCTGACAACATATTTTCGACAATTAAACATTTTTAATGTAAAATAGCAACCTAATTGTCATAGATTTTTAGGAAAACTAAAAAGTGTTTAAATAAAAAACAAATTCTCATTAATTATATATACAGATTATAAATAGCTAAATAAATAAACAAACAAACAAATAAATAAATAAATATTATTATTATTATAAATTCATTTATTTATTTATGGGGTAAAGAATTACCTGAAGAGAAAAGCATAAATATATTATTTTGGGAAGAAAAAAAAAGTCATAAAGGTTTAGCTAGTTTAGGTGAGTGAATGGTGATTATTTTTTGTTTGTTTGTTTGTTTTTTGTTAATGATTCCTTTCAATTTTGGTGAGATTTTCAGTAGCACCTCATTGCAGTACATGAGATCCAGGGGATGGAGTTGGATCCAGATCTAAGGGGTGGAAATGGGTAGGATTAGGGATCAGGGGGTTAGGGTTAGGGATCAGGGGGCGGAGATGGGTAGGATTAAGGGTGGGGTTAGGGATCAGGGGGTGGAGATGGGTAGGATTAGGGGTGGGGTTAGGGATCAGGGGGTGGAGATGGGTAGGATTAGGGGTGGGGTTAGGGATCAGGGGGTGGAGATGGGTAGGATTAAGGGTGGGGTTAGGGATCAGGGGGTGGAGATGGGTAGGATTAGGGGTGGGGTTAGGGATCAGGGGGTGGAGATGGGTAGGATTAGGGGTGGGGTTAGGGATCAGGGGGTGGAGATGGGTAGGATTAGGGGTGGGGTTAGGGATCAGGGAGCGGAGATGGGTAGGTTTAGGGGTGGGGTTAGGGATCAGGGGGTGGAGATGGGTAGGATTAGGGGTGGGGTTAGGGATCAGGGGGTGGAGATGGGTAGGTTTAGGTATATGTAAGGTGGGAGGAGTTGGATCTGCATCCAACTCCTCCACCTGGATTTCGTGTTCTGTAGTGAGGACCATCTCGAGATTTTTGATCGAAGAGCCCCATAACATACCGAGATTATACCAGACGTCCATCTCCCCGCTCAGCATCCGCACCTCGATGATAGTCTGACCCAGAAAGTCATCAGATTCCTTCTTAAAGTGCTGCTTCACTCTGGACTTTATGTCGTCGTCTTCATCCCACACACGAACTTTTATACGGTCTGTGGCGTTATGGCATTCACTAAGAATAGAGAGAAAGGAGTGTAAGAAACATTTATCCTACAATTTCAATGTTTGAGCTCGAGATCTTTTGATTGCAATCCATTGGTATCTTGGAAAATCTGAGCATAGATCTCTTCTGAAAGATGCTTTTTTTTCAGAATCTGACAACCAGGAGACTTAAAAATCTTTTTGCTCACCATATAATATCATTGCTGCTTTCTAAGAAAAACAAATCCGATATTAAAGAGATCTCATTTGAGATTTTTCTTTCTCTAGACAGAACACTATTGATTTTATTTAAGAGTCAATTTTCCTTTGAGGATGTCCCCAAAGGGAAGTCTTTTGTAATTTAGCTGACATCAAGGGACAGTTTTGTCCCTAAAGTATAGCCAAGAAAATCCACACACACACACACACAGAAGAGTCGCGAGCTGCTTGCCGAACTGCTTTTAAAGGTCATATGCTCCACTGAATCTCCAAACAGGGCACTTAGCCTCCTGTGGTCCATCTCTATGTCTTTCTCTCCGGTGGAGGGTTGATGTGAGAGACAGACGGGCTCACAGACAGACGTTACGCCTGCAGACAGACGCTCCACAGATGCAGTCAACGCACCACAGCCTCACAGCACTACAGAACACAGCACAGCCCCGAAACACTTCCAATCACATCAAATCATACTGACTGACATGATCCTAAGGAGAAAATATAAATATCATAATATTACAAGAACGGTAAGAGTTTTGTACAATGATCGCTGTGAGGGCCAGACAAATCCTGACACCATTTCTTTATAATGGAAGAATCTGGTCTGATCGTTTACCTGTCCTTTTAATCAGTTCATTCTTGATGACATGAACTGATGTATTAGAATTCATACAGTACCGTTCAGTAAGTTTGGTGTCAGTAAGTAAGGGGTCAGTTCATTAAAAAAAAATTAAAACTAAGTGACAGTAAAGACTTTTATAAAAGTACAAAAGATTTCTATTTCAAATAAAATGCTGTTATTCTGAACTATACAGGTATATTCATCAAAAAATCTGAAAAAAATGTCAGTAAGATTTTCATTAAGAAATTAATACTTCGATTTTGCAAAGAAGCATTAAATTGATCAAAAAAGAGAGTAAAGTAATTTATGATGTTACAAAAGATTTATATTTCAAAAAAGGCTGTTCTTTTGAACTTACTATTCATCAAAGAATCCTGAAGAAGAACAAAATCACATAAAAATCACAATTGTTTTCAACTTTGATAATAATAAGAAATGTTTCTTAACCCTCTGGGGACCAAGAACGCGCCCGTGCGTTTTGCTGTTTTTTTTTTCACATAGCAGCAACATAGACTTAAAATACTCCGTCATTTATGGTCATATAAATAAAATCAATACATGATTATAAACTATAGAGGGTCTTCTTTTTTGTGTACACTCACATTAAAATCAAAACCTTGTTGTTTTTTTAAAAATAAATAAAATAAACAGGGTGCGCTTTCAGCTCACTCTGTCTCCGCAAAAATCTTTCTGAAACATGTCTGGAAAATGAACGGAAACTCCGCTAATACTTATCACACAAACATGAAACATACGTCTAAAGAACGCTTTAAATTTCTACTTTTAAATAAAACAATTCACATTTAAAACAAATATTCTCCTGCAGTGTAATCTGTATGAAACTAAAGAGAAGTACAGTTTCTCCTGTCTCAGCTCATTATCGTTAATTTGTTCACACCCACTCGCAGAGCGCGCTATTCATAAGATAATGTGTTGAGGCCATTTGCAAAATAGATAAACGCCCCCAGGCAAATGCTGTAAACACACAATATTTTTTAGTCAGATTAAGATTCGTCTTGCGCGGCTATGAGGAATAATCCTAGGACATTTAATACAGAAGTGCTGGTTTATTTTCACTTCGAGGAGGAACAACAGATTCAGCTGAGAACTGTAAGTGTTTTATGGCTGTGCTTTGTTCTAATCGCGATATAGAATACCGTTAGTGTCTGTAAACGGAAAAATAGCATACTGTTTAAATGTGAATCATGTTTCTCTCTGTGTGTGTGTGTGTGTAAATGAATGAATGAACGCACATATACGCACTGTTACAGACGAAATAAAAGACAAAATTTCGTTGATTAGTTTTGGATAAAGTCTTTCAAATCAAATAAGCATCAAATAAGCTTCAAAATAAAGACATCAGCTTTTGTTAGGAGTTTCTGGGGATAGAAGTGTCCAGACGTATGCACCCTGTATTTTAAAGAAGAACATTTAATTATTTGCGATACATTATTCAATCACAAAGAATTCAGGGACATTATTCACGTCCCTAAAGGTTAGAGTTTTCCTCATTTTTTAATTAAGGCATTAAGATTTTTTATTCCTCTTTTTAGTCAACTTTAGCATGGGTGTGTTCACTTCTAGTTCTAAGCAGTGTGTGTGTGTGTGTGTGTGTGTGTGTGTATATGTATATATATATATATATAGCCTATAATTAAAAAGCTATTTTAACCAGAAAAATCTACAATGCATGCCCAAAGTCGTGCAGCCATATAGTTTCTCTTGATATCAGTCCTGCTGACTTCAACATTCACAGGAGACTGTGATGAAAAATCAAACACCTTGGAAATGACAGGTATGTACTATGTTTCAGGAATGGGACAATGCTGTGCGACTGTGCAAGCCTCTGTTTTTAGATCAGTGTGTTTACTAATGTGCTTTTTTGTCCTTTGTTGTGTATCTTTGGATTATGTTGTGTTGTTAATAAATCCAAACAATCTAAAAGCCATTCTTTTTTAAATCTCCTCATTCTTTGTGCAAGGCTCCTCATAATGGGGCCTGATAGCACCTAATAGGGCCATTATGGGAGGGTCTTTGTCTTTATCAGGTGTGAAATGCCAAACATATTAATGAGAGATCACGCCTCCTTGCATAAAGCTTTCTCAAACAAAACACGTCATACATATTCGAAAAGACTTTATTGACTTATCTGAATGAGTAGTCAGGAGGATTCTCACATAGTTTTGGAGCAAATATTCTAGACTATGTGATACAATTTTCAAAAGTCTTGTGAAGAAATAATCAATATGTGTTTTGTGGCCTTATTTCAGAAACTTTTATTTTTAAGTTTTTCAATAACCATGTATAAATAATATTCTCTCAAAAATACAAACATGTACATACATGTTGCTCACAGATTATAATAGCCCTGTTTGTGCTATATAGAGTGAATTTACACCTTTGCCATTAACATGTTTATAAATAACTGAAAAAAGCACAAATGTCAGTGCATGTCAAAACATCCCAAGGGCCCCAAAAAACCCTTGGTCCCCAGAGGGTTAAGCAGTAAATCAGCATAATAGAATGATTTCTAAGCAGATGAGACTTCTTTCAAAAACATTAAAAAAAAAAAAAAAAAACTCCAAACTTTTGAACATGCACTGAAAGAAAAAAGATAAATTGATTTTTTTAAGCTTTTGAAAGTCAAAGATAGACATCTCTTCACAAGAACAAATTACCATAGGAAATTACACTGAAATGGATTCAAACTGTGCAGGAAAAAGCTGAGTAAAAAAATGCACAGAAGCACAAAGATTTTTGCACAATTTGCACTTTACAATATGAAGGTGACATAATTAATTATTACATACAAATAAGTACATTTTTTGCTGTGAAAATATACAAATTCTCTCAAAATCCTCAAGTGTGTAGAAATTAAGCACCTACTCCACCCCATGTGTGCCCATTAACAGTCTCTGCAACTAAATCTGAAATGTATACATTTTATAAATTAGAGAAATGATCCCAGTTTGTGCTTTTCTTTAAAGTTTCTTTGAAGCACTAGAAAGTTTTAGTTTAAAGCTAATCCAGAAAGTGTGCTAAAATGCAAATGAGACTAGCCACATGGTGCAACTTTGGGGTGGAGAAGCTGCTAAAGAGAACTGGATCAATGTCACAGATTTACTTCTATGTGCCATCGTGTTTTACAGCACATGCCGCACGCTAAAACACTAGGACTTCTCAACGTGGCGTTAGAAGAGAAAATACACCACAACAGAAGCTCAAGATCAGAGAAATTTATAATGACTCTTCATCAGCAGTTATAAAAAGACATACTGTGAAGACTGTTTGATGAATTTAATTTGCTATTATGACAGAGAAAGACTATCAACCTGAGAAAACAAATGCAAGGTCTTCCACTATCTCTCAAATGCTTTTCTCTCAATGAAAAAGTTTAAACAGGTGAGAGGAACTGAGAAATCATCTCATAATAAGTATTTCCCCATAATCCTACTTAAATCGTTCCAAATCAACAGATCCAGCATCTTCTGAAGCCCTGGAGTCTCTCATCATCCTATAGATATTTATCATGAGATTTAGATGAAGAAATGCACACACTGAAAGTGACAGTGTTTTCCCACACACTCTCTCATTCACATAGTGCTGAAACTGCAATGCTACTGCATGAAAATCCACATCTTACTGTCTTTGGAAGGGTTCAAAATTTAACCATTTGGTCAGACTCCTCAGAAAAGTGTAAACACTGTGAATCCTTCAAAAGATGTCTCTATTTGTTGAAGCATCCCGACCGACAGACACAGCATTACTATTTCAACCAATAGCAGAGTTTGGTGTGGAACTATGTTTATTCAACCAATGGCAGAAGGAGGACGTGTTCTAAAACAGTGCACAGGTGCCCACCCCCTCTTTCAGCGGCGTTGGTTCCGGAAGTATTTTTCCCATAAGGATCTTAAAATGTCTTCTTTAAAGCATTATAAGCTAAGAACCAAACCAACCAGCTATGTGGTGAATCACAACATTACAGACTTTGATTTGAAGAAAAATAAATATTTGAAAATTGGACAATAATGGTACAAGACTGTGTACTGTGTAATGACTGTAATGGCTTTACTGTGGGAAAGAACTACAATCCCATGAAGCACAGAGTAGACAATTAAATGTATATATTTATATGTATGAATAAATATACTGTATATAAGTTTATGTAATTTGCAGTGCTTCATCATGGGAGA